GTGGAAGGGAGGCATCAACTTTTAGCAGTGGGTATGTCACAAGCATGAAATTGTATCTCTGGTACGTTCACATCCTTCACATCCTAGCTGATCAGGACATCCAAAGAGGAATTGCATTCAGGGATTAAATGGATGAAATGTGATATCTTACAGTACACAAGAACAGATTCTGGCTTTCCTGTGATGCTTAAAAATATTTTGAAAAGAGGATGCAGCAAATAGGAATTATATCAATCAGCACAGATGCTTGAAGCACGTTGATAAAATAAAGCAGCATGTTGAACTTTAATTTCTGAGTAAGAAAGCCTGAGACAGTCACAATTTGCAGGAGCAGTTTCCTTAGGTGCTAGGGTGGCATGAAGTTCATGACCTCTAGCAGCTCTTTGCTATTCCTGTGAGGAATTGTAATTGAGCATTGTAATAATCAGCATGTTACACATCAGCCTTTCCTTAAAATTCAGCTGCCATGTTGGATGAGTTAGATGACTCCAGAGGGGGCACAGGGGTATGGCCTGATCCAGAACAGATTCATGCATTGCCCTGATGGTAAGCTCTTCGTTCCTTCCATTGAGTTACACTCTTCAGCCACACTCCAGTGCAGACTCAACTCTCTTTCCTTTTCTTTAATGGTTATGATGGTTATGATGCTGTGGAGATATATAATATTTTCTGGGTTTTTCCTTCTTAAAACTGGCACTATTAGACTGACCACACAAATAAAGAACTGAAATTGTATCTCAGCTTCTTCCCCATTGTTGCAGGGATCAATGTTGACTTAAAAAAAACCCAGGAAGGCAGGAAATGAAAGGCTCTATTTCAGAACTATGTTTTACTCCTGAGTACCTTCAGGTTTTTATCACTGACCCAGTGATCCTACCCGGATCACTTTTTTATAACACATATAAGGGGATACCAAATTCATCCTCCACTGACTTTTCAGCTGCATTTAAAGATGAATTTATAATTTCTAAATTCAGCTTTTGGGAAGAGGCTGGAGAAGAGAAGAACAGGTAATAGAATATGGAAGAAGGTGTGACATCAGAATCTCTGGACACAGTGAAGAAAATTAATTCCACAGATGGAAGATACGTAGAAGAATTGGTGTATTCTCAAAGTTCATGATAACTTAATCACAAACCACAATGACAGTGGTTACAGAATGTATGTACAGCCATACAGAATGTGTCTGTGTGTTTATATACACATATGTAAAAGATACATGCTTTTCTGTTTATTGCTATATATCTGTACTCATGTATTTTTTACTTTGAGATGGTAACTCCAAGCTGTCACCCTCTCTGGTATCTTTGTTCAAGGGTGTGCATGCTGCTTTGTGCCTCTGTGTGTGTGAGAAAAATGTTCTTTGATCTCACATTTAGAATTAAAATATTTCAGCATAGTAATTCATGTTGGGTTTATGTTGCAATTTATATCCAGCCTGCCACTGCTGTAGGTGAAACCATTACCACAGAAGCCTAAAGGAATTTCTAGAAAATATTTTTATTTATAGTAAGCTTATCTATATAATTAATTGACAATGGCTCTGTAGCAGGAAACAAATGTCTGTGCCCATTGTTTCTTTGAATACAGTGAGGAGGAGCAGGATTGCCTCCTTCTCAGTAGTGATATAAAAGGAGATTTCTATGGGATTGAATTCAGTGCGCAAAGGAGTGCCTTGTTTAAAATGTTTATATTTTTCTGTGGTTAAAAAAGTACTAAAATAACTCAAACTGCATGTAACAGCTTCTGGTAGCCCTTTTTCAAATACGGACCATTCCTTTGCAGCCATGTCAGATTTTGCAGCCATGTCACGTTTGTACAGCACTCTGGAAAGAAGTTTGTAGGAGCTGGTGCAATGTGGGCCATTGAGGAACAGTTTCAGTTCAGGAACCTGCTCTAAACTCACTGCATGCTTAATTGGTTTTATTACACATCCATTCCAGCCTTTGTCTTGGTGATACTGGTTTGATTGCTAATCCTGCTCAGGATGCATTCTTAACTAGACATGGGAGAAAGAATTTCTTCATGGGCTAGGCACAAGCTAACAGGAAAATAAAAGGGTAAACATTCAGCTTTCATGAAAGAGAAACTGGGGACTGCTTTTGTGGAAGGTGTATTTGGATGACCAGACCTGCACAGAAAATACACTGTAGCACTTCTCTGCCAGCAGAGATCCTCATCACTGCAGGGCTCCTGTCTGTGAGGCTGAAGGCACTGGTGGGCATTAGCAGGTTGGAAAGATGATTTGTTGTAAGATCATTGTGTCCAACTGTAAACCTAATACCAGTACAGGCTCCCAGCAGTGTGGTGTTTATTTTTTTGATATACTTGAGTTTGCAGAGGAAGGGGTTTCTGTGGTTGAGGAATGGGCGTAACCCAGGAAGGCTGCAGAGGGCTACATCAGCTCGTAACACCAAATATCTGTGCCATTATTATTTTCTGAATTGATCCTTCTTTGATACTTCTGGAAGTGACATCCAGGTCTCAGCTAGATCCATCCTGCTTGATGGCTTTCATCTGTGGACCTCACCACCATATATAGTTTGACAGCTGAGGAGTAGAGGGGTGTGGGAGGCTTGCCTAAAATAGCAGAGGAAGTGAGGTCTGTGTCTCATTATTAGTCATTACTTGCCTTGCAGGAACATTTTTGCTTTTTCTGTAGAAGACAGGCTCACAATAGCATCTGCATTTTATGCACTTCCAAGAGAGGCCCCTGAATGTGTATTTGTATTATACGTATATATATGTATATGTACTTTCCCTGGGGTTTGAGAAAGCAGAGATGTATGAAATTGAAGCTTTCCACTATTTTAAACCTCATGTGGAGGAACAGATTTTGTCATTTATTCAGTTGAAATGTACAATCACACGGCAATTCAAGTCATTGCTTAAGGACTATTCCCTATTTCCCTAATACTTTTTGTCCTCATTGAACTGCATTTAAAAAAAATAAAAAAAATCCCTTACCACAGGTTTAAAATGTAAATGTGCATTTATAAAAACTTTGAAAGTTGACACAGCTATGCTACTGTGACTTAAATTTGCAATGGTCAAAGCATGAAGATGGCCCCAGTTTTCTTCAGTCACTAAGTGTTCTCAGCACAGTTTTTTGTTCTTGACTCAGACTCCATACAGCTTTTGACATCTGTTGTAGTTTGCTGCTCTTGGTGCTACAGAGATACACCCTGTGGCTATGTTGCTGTACTTCACTGCTCACTGGGCTCTGCAAGGAGCCATGAGCTGGGTGGAGTGTGTCCAAGTTGTGGCTGATAACTCATCTCTGTCTTTATCAGGTGTTGCTGGCTGGCTCAGTGTCAGAGGTTCCTGCAGCTAGGAGGGTATTAGGTGTGACTGAGAGCCAGCTGGCTGGAGAGGTGGGCAAAGCCTCTGGGGAGCAGGGCACAGGCACCAGTTCGAAATGGGGCACAAGCGTTGTGTTCATTTTGTGCCTTGGGCTGCTGCTGAATATCCATGTGATAGCTGGGCTCCCATTTCTCATGCTGCAGTGGCTTGCAGTTATTTGAACATTGTGTGTTGTTCTTGTTGATTCAGGGATTGATGGAAACAGAACACAGACTAAAATTCAAGGTGATTTACATCCTAGTCATGTGAGAAAACACTTCTACATGCTGCCCACAGGTCTTTGTGATCACAGGCTGGAACAGCACGTTAGCTGCCTTTGGGGTTTGGCGTTGATCCCATTTAGCCTCTGTTAGCCTCTAGATGGGATGAGGAACTCCTTTCCCCAGAGCTCACAGGAACAGGGAGGCTGAGGCTCAGTGGAGCTCTACTTGCTCTGGCTGTGATTCCCTCTGCCCATGGAATGTGCATAGGTGTTACTTCTATCAGAGCCAAAGTGAAATGAAGCAGCTGTTTCTGCTCTGTGTCTGCAGTGACTAACATGGAGAGCTGCTCAATACTCGCCCAAGTCCACAAAATCATGTAACTTCACAGTGCAAGTGCTGGCCTAGATCTGCAGAACTGTAGTGAAGTGTCTGTGTATAGGGCAGGGAATTGTATGGTTTGGTGAGGGAAGGGGAAGTGGGTTCTCAGGTATGTGGGATCCAAACCAAGAGTAATAATATAGTGGTGCAGACTGGAGACAAAAGGTGCCTGTTGCCTTTTCAAGGATGACCCTAGTGAAAAGCTGATATAGATTTCAGTTACTGTTTTTCCAGTTGCACAGACTCTAGAATACTGTGTCAAAAAGAGGAAGAGGTGTGAAGAAGCAAGATGACATCCTCAGGAAAGGGTTCTCCAGTGCATACAAGTATGTCTTACATGGATATGTTCTTTTCCCTTGGAAGAAGAAATTCATGTCTACAAGACAAGACTACAACTACTCCCTTAAAACTAGGAGCCACAGTTAGGGAGTGGATTGGCACAGGACACTGTCCCCCACATCTATCTGTTAACAGTGTAGGGGAAAAACTCAGAAAGTGTGAAACAGAATTGATCTTATCAGCAAATACACTACAAATTCAAGCACAGAAAAATTTACTGGTTCACTATTTGAATCACATGAACTGGTAGAGCTGTGCTTTTTCCAGCGCAGATGTACTGATTTCTATAGTGTAGGGTGTGTTCTTAATAGGTGAAAAATGTTTTCAAGCTTTACAGACTGGAAATTTAAATCAGCAACTGTAACTTGTTCCTGGCTTTTAAGTTAGCTACTATTGCCTCTGGACGACAGACAAATGTACCATAACCAAGCGGCTCTTTTCTAGCTGTAGTTTCTAGAATGTGACCAAACACACAAGATTTTTGCAGAAATTAAGAAATCTATTAATAGCAAAAGTCATAAATCTAAGCCCAAGATGCCAAGTGGATTTGGGGAAGACTAAGCATCTAAATAAAACCTAAAGAGAAAACATGCATTTCATAAGAGTATTCTCTAATAACTAATGAGGTACCTGTGCTTCACACAGGCTAGACTTCTGTTGAAACAATGAGCCCTTTAATGTTTTACTGCTGTTACACATTAATCAAACTCACGAAAGTACCAAAAATTAATGAAATTTTATTGGCAAAAATCAAGAAGTATGTGACCTATTTAATTCAACAGAAGCAAGCCTCAGTTTAATTTATCAAAATACTTCAGTTTTCCAGCTGGATCTGGAATTATCTGTTCAAGAAAGAAAATGAAAACGTTAGTCAAAAACCAAAGCCATGAAAACATAGCAGACTATAAAGCCAGAACAGCACAGTATTTCAAAGAAAGATGCTACTGCCAACTCACTAGCAACACTGAAGAGTAATTTATCAGTTGATTTGGTACTAGATTACTGTTCATCTCTAAAGGTACCTAACAGCAGTAGCAGAGAAATCCAACCGATTGAGGCATGAGAGAGTGCAGCCTACCAAAGGAAGAATTTTGATAGCTTGCCCCAAAAGCAAGATATTTTGGTAAATTAGTATCTGTAATCTAGAGGCTTAGAATTTACTTACAGTTCTTCCCTTGGCCACCACACTCTCATGGCTTCCTCTGGTTTGATCTAATTAAATCAAACACATTTAGAAGGCATGTCTACATCTTTGAGAAAGGCTTTTTCAACTACTCAGCTATTGTCTGCATCTTTTCCACAGAGGAGGTGAGAATGCTTATGTATTGCTTTAGATTATTAAATTGGCAGTATCTGAGCTGTTAAGATCAGCATCGTAACTGTTTTTTAGAAAAGGTACCAATGTCATGTTATCTAGGTGATCCTGGTTGTGGAGGGCAGAAGTTTTCAGTGCCAAAATACAGATGTTGGGCCAGCCAGCTCTATTTCATTTTATAGTCTTAATATCCAGCTTCCCCCCTTACGACACTCCTCTGCTAGCTTGAAAAAATTCACTCCCAGCCTCAAGTCATCCTAGGAAACTTTCACATCCACCAAAAACCATGGTTTAACATTCCACTGTTTTTTACTATCAAGTATAATGCTCACTAACTCTGCATAGAGGCTGCTGGGACCTGGTTTTTGTTGAGCCAGCTCAATAACAACAGTGCTCTGTCATCACCAGATGGTTCAGAAGGAAGCCACATGCTCAAATAAGTGACAGTTATCTCATTTGAACGAGGCAGCTCAGACCTTATTCTGCTGAGGCTCACTCTGGGCCAGGGAACACAAACAAGTTCAATGAGTGTTTATGTGAACTCTGGCTTCTCTGCCTCCAGTCACATGGAGCTCAGAAGTAACAAAGGGAGGACAATTGCACAGCAAAGCAGTGCTCTCTGCTGGCGTGCTGACAGTGGCACTGGCTCTGGCACAAACTACAGCAGCCTAGCAACTTTTATCTTTTTATTTCTTGGGTAGTGCCCAGGATCTGCGAAGTAAGATCCACCACGAATTTATATGGACAAATAGCCAAGAAGATACAACAAACTTAAGAGTTTCAAACTTTCCCTCATCAGGTGTTAACAGGAAAAAGTTCTTGATCACAGACTCACTGCTGATCAAGTGAATTTTGTTTACACACCAGGAGTTTGAAACAACTACAACATGTCTAGTGTGAGGGAAACAATCCCCTAATGAAATCAACAGTAATCCGAGTAGTCTAAGTTTAATAATGTGATATTTACTCATGCCTTCTCACTGGAAGTTGCTAAGATTGGCTCTAGTAGAAATGGTAACTAAGTGCTTGTTAGTACTATATGCATGTTAATATAAACAGTGACTTACTGTTTCACTGCCAGGTTTCCAACCAGCAGGGCAAACTGAAAAAAAAAAGGGACAAAGTTAACTGAAGTTATTTTTACACACACAGACTTTTGTGTGCTTAGTATTCTCTTTTTGACCTTGAAGTAAAACACTGTGAAGTGTCACATGTCAATACCTGAAACTATTAAATGTACAGTTTTCTTTACACATGGGATGGTGACCTAGCAGTTTATACCTGACACCATCCACCACTTCTGTTGCCTGAAAACTGCAGATGTCTGGATGGATGCCTATGCCTTGGTTTAATTCTTGTGCCCTTCTACACAAAGTACTGGCAAAGTAGTATCTGAGAATGAACATCAACTCTAGTAAAAGTGAAGGTTTGCAATACAATTCAGGTGACTACACAGAGACCTACCTTTCTTTCTTTAAAACCAAAACTAGGGGCATTTTTTAGCACAGAGATCACTTCAAAGATTCCACCAGAGACTGATTTTATTTGTAGTCTTGCTTAGGAGCAAAGGGATCGCAGCATGTGCTTACTGCAGTGTGGCTGGGAGCCCTGGGACCACCTGTACAGCTGCATATTCTGGAGTAAAGCTCTCATCTGTTCAGAGCTCTTCCTCTGAGGCTTCAGCTCAAGCAGCTGTGTCATATTTCACTGCTTTAAGTCATGCTGACAAAATGCCCCACATGCTAGTAGGAATTGTGGAGAACTGTTATTTTGTGTGAAGAAACCAGTGAGGTGTCTACAGAGGCTCTCCTCAACATTAATTCAAAACATTCAAAAGCTGGGAAAAACGTGGTGTTCTGGAAACACTGCAAATTAACATTCTGTAAACTGGCTTTGTAACTAAATGTGGGTAAATTTCCTTAGTCAGATTGCATAGCCTGTAAGCATCAGCATCTATTTTTTCAAGTCTGTACAGCACAGCAGAATAATGATTTGTACCTTCATATAAAAGTACTTTCAAATGCCTGGAGACATTGAGTTGAACTGGAAGTTAAGCTGCTAAATGTGTATTCATATTTAAACAAATCCTCAAATAAATTATTGAAAGAAATGTGAAAAAGTTCACCCCATGCTTGAACTGAATAAGAATTCTTGAATCAAAGTAATGATCTGAAGACAGTAAAATTTCTTTGCTGGGGAAAGATGATCACACAGCACTTATACAGAGTAATGGTATAGTTTCCATAGTATCACCATGTATCTTGACATGAAACAATCTCAATTACTTGTCACAGTGCCTCACTGAATGGCACAGGACAAGGATGACCTGCATCTCCTTTACTTTAGTATGCAAAAATGTGCTGAAATATTGGGCCTTGTTCTTCACAGCCTCATGTTTTGTACAAATTTATGCTTGGGAAACATCGTACATAATGCCAAAATTCAGACTAAGAGCTTTATGCTCTCATTCTCATGGATGTGAAGCAAAATGTAAATTACTATTCTAGAAACAGCCTAAGAACCTAGGAACACGGAATCAAGCAGGGCAATCAAATCTCTTCAGTCACTGTATGAGGCCAGTCCTTAATGCTACTGAGCATCTTTCCTCCAAAAAGCTAATACAGCTTCCAGGCTAAGTAAAACAATCTTCAATATGGCAATATTCAAAAGAGCACCTTCTCCATGTTTGTCTGTGTACTGGAATGCTTGTACTAAACGAAGTGTTTCATCCACTGATCTCCCAACAGGAAGGTCATTCATTGTGATCTGTCGAAGGATTCTTTTATTGTCAATAATGAAAAGGCCTCTGTGGGGAAAAAAAAAGTGTATGTGTGTTAGGAAACAGAGTTAATGATAGCGGTGTTTTCATGCACTATTTTATGTCTGCTGGGTGGGAGGAATTTTATCTTTGCAAACACCATATAATACTCACCACCAGTAACCTACTATTCTTTACCTGGGTATCAGAGGACATGAGCAGAACTCTAGTTAAAACCAAAAAAAAGATACTTCTTTGCAGAACATAGAACTAAACTCTGAGTGGCCCTGCCAGGGGATGCTGCAGACATTAGGGCATTACAGGGATCCCAAAAGAAACTATTCTCTTTTAGGCAAATGTATTCTTTAGGTAACCTTAGTCTGGACTCTGCTTGGGACCTGGGAGGTCCCTGAGCAACTGCAGTTCTGGGCAATCCTGCCCAAGGTATCTATTGATGCCTGCTGTTAAACAGGATATTAACCTTGACCCCTCTTCTGACACATTATAACTCTATTTTTTGTGTTCTTCAGTATTTGCTGCTCGCCATAAATCCCCAAGTAAAAGCTGCTCTAAAAGAAAAATTTCAAATGCTTTTTTAAATAGAAAGCAGTAAGTATTACCCCAGCAAAAACCCAACTGAACTGCAGCCCAGTGAAATACCTAAGGGTATGTCCTTGATCTTCCAAATACACTCCATAATCCTTTGAAATCTGGTGTGTCAGATCAGAAAGAAGGGGAATCTTCATTGGTCCAAGTCCTCCTTGTTTACGAGGAGTATTAATCCTTTGAAGGAAAGAAAATATAGATGCATTTCTCATAGATTTATACTCCCTACACAAGTCAAAAACTCACAAACTGCATCATTATGGACAGAAGAATTTAGTGCAAGTGACATTTTTCTGTTCTGCACACAAAGGAGATGAACAGTATTTGTGGCTTGAACAAAATGTTCAGTAGATCTTCTGCAGGTTTTGGCCACATCTGTTAATGACAACCTTATCAGTTGCATTTGCTTTATGCCAATGTGCTCATGAACTGAGACAATGGAAAGCATTTACTGGTAGTTTCATTAACATTTTCTTTTTGTATTTGTAGTATTTTTTGGACTGAGACATGGTATGTTTCAAGCAGTACACATTAAACACGCTTAAAAAGCAAAGGTACTTTCACACACTAGAGTTAAAATTTATTTTAAACATTTGTGTCAACAGCATCACACTTTCACACATTATGATATACCTACACAGGCTAAAAATCTGGGGAGTTCTGTCCTTCTCCTAAGTTGGAACATGAATAATATTAAGTGAAAGACAAGAGGAAAACACATACCATGCTAAGTGAGTGAATTTTGAATCCACAGAACATGCTACTACTTCGGTATTTATTGCTCTGAATTCTTCAATTCGGTCACTGAAAGCAATTATCTCAGTTGGACAGACAAACGTACTAGAAGATTTAAGACAAGATAAAAGTAAAAATGTAATGAGAAAGACAGTAAATTCTCTGTGTAACTTAAAATGGTGTATTTGTCATAAATTATTTCAGCTTTTGCTTATTTTTATTGCTTCTTCAAGTATCTAACCAAATGCTGCCTGACAAATTCCCACCCTCAGACTCCAGCTTAGTTACAAATGGATTATTTCTGAAGATTGTAAATCTACAGTTATTTTAGAATCTGGATTCAGACCTTGTACAGTTATGTTCTTTTAGATTTTACGAATGTGCCTGATTTTAAATACTATAAGCCACTTTTTTCAGAGGATCATACTATAATTTGTTGTTACTGTGCAAATCTGCAAGTTTTAACTAATTTGTGTTCACCTTTTTCTATTATAGAAAAACTAAAGTATTAAAGCTAATGATGCTATAATATTAGAAGTAGTTATGCATCTCTGTCCTCTTATCTTCATTTTGTGGAAAAGAATGGGACTGTCCCTTAAAAAGCAGAAATGTCTTCACTCAATCAGTGAAGTTACTGCATTCTAAATAAAGGAGGTTAATGTTAAGAGCCCTTCGGATACTACGGGATGAGCTTAATGGGAAAATGCCACCTCCTGGATACACTATATATATATATCCTTTAGAAAAAGCAGATGGGATGCCTTCTTCTACTTGTAGCACTGAGTTACAGCACGAAACAGAACATAGAGTCTGCCTAACTGGGTAACTACAAAGTTGTTTGTTTTGTGTGGAGACACGAACTAGTGTCTGCAAAGATTGTGTTACAATTTTACCAATGCATGGTAAGAAAACAAATGCAAAGACTGTATTTTCTTCTGTCACTCCTTTCTTCTCTCCCAAATTCTTACCAAACTAAAATACAAGACCTCAAAAAAAGAGAAGAATTAATGAATTATGAATCTAGTGTAGCTGCACTCGGTATGCCTACAGTGCTCTTACTTACAAGTCAAGAGGATAGAAGAAGAAGACAAGATATTTTCCTTCATAATCTGTTAACTTCAGCTCTTTAAACTCTCCATTAATGACTGCTGTTCCCTCCCAGTAAGGTGCTGGCTTGGAGACTGAAATGCAAAGAATGTTGAATTATAAGTCAGAATATAACACCTGTGTTCAAACCAAGCTGTCCAAAGACAGCTGTTCTTCCTTTTGCTTGCAAAACAACCTACAGCACAGTTCCAAGATGAAACTGCTTTCCAGCTCTAAACATGGGGGTAACAGAATGATGAAGAAAAGAAGTCTTCAATAAACATACAAAGTAAATAATTTGACCAACTTGTGCTCATATATGAGCCCTGTTGATCATTGATAATCAAGGCCACACAAACCTTATCTGGGCTACCGAACAAACCCTGTGTGCACTGCCAGGACAAGGCACCTGCTAGACTGAAGGGGAAAGCTCTTTAATACTTCAGCTACTCTCATTATTTTGTTAGGAATAGCTGTTGGGAACCAGCAGGACAAAATGGTTCAAATTCACTTTGCTACTTTTTAGTCATGGAAACCTGTCTGGAATTCTGGTCCAAAAAAAATATATGCCACAACATGTTTAGAGACAAATGCATAAAAATGCAGCATATGTTTATTAAATTACAACTCCTAAGCAAATTTTAACTTGAAAACAGCTGTGTTTTAAAATAATATCCCACTGAAAAGCATGACATATATTTACAATTCCTATCAGGGGATTAACTTTGAATTTAAAATATTAAAAATTAATCTGCCAGGTACTATTTTCATACCACTGTGAATCTGGAGACAAAGGACAGGGTATGCTGGAATTACAAGTTGATCTGAATACACTTGCCATGTCAAGGACATTGACATACATCTCCAGCAAATTAGGGAAAAGCTTCTGAGAAAAATACGTGGAATCTTTAAATATTATCTGGATGGTGCCTGAATTATTTGGCTCTCCTTTTCTTAGGACAATTCATAGCTGCAGAATATAGTTAGCAAGGATGTATAACAAAGACCTTCAGCTAAGGAGGGAGAAGGAAAAGATACTAAACAAAATATTGCATATCTTGACCCCTTTCTAAATTAAGGTAATTGTTTTTGCAGTTATAAACATCAGTCTGTAATAACTTACATTACAAAGGGAGAAAAATCCAAACAGTATTGGTTACTGGTTTTTTTTTTGTTTTTTTTTTTTTAGCATCTGCTTGCGAACGCTTATAACAGAACGTACGCCTGATTCAGTAAAGGAAAAGGACTTTAAAGCTGTAAATTCTCATAGGGGAGGTAACAATTTCTGTGCGATCTCTCTGTACTCTCCTGCATGACGGGACTTTGAGCAGATATCCCTGAACAGCCACACGATTACGGTGTTTGTCCCCACGTCTGTCATGTAAAGCATTTAAACCACAGCAGAGCACAGGCACAAAAGCAGTGCCAAACCCAGCGCGGTGGCAGCGGGTTACGAGAGGCTCCCGTTCATTGTTTCTGACCGCAGCGTGAGCACAAAACAGTCCTGTGTATCCCTTGAAGCGCTTCCCTGAACTCGTTCGCCATTTCTGGAACCACGGACCTTGCCGAACGCCCGTGAGACGGCGGCCACGGCACATCGACCACGATGGAAATACAGGTCTGGAAGGAGCTGGTGGGGCCGGTCTGCCTCCCCCTCCTTCCCTCTCCCCTGGCTGCCGCGGCCGCCCCGGAGGCCGCAGGCAGAGCCGGCGTGGCCAAGGGACGGGCCCGGGGAGCCCCCGCGCTCCGCCTGACGTGGCGCT